TTGGCGGCAATAAAACGGCTTAGATCGTTGTGGAGATTTGAAAAGTCAAATCGATACGTTATGAATAATAATGAGTTTCAAAATTCCGTCACATTTAACAATCTATTTTTACGGAATTGATTCAGGAGATCGTTTTCTATTTTTAGAGTGATCGAACTCGGACTCCGAATGTAAAAATATTCAATTACCTGTTGAATAAATTCTCGAATAGGTAGTCGTCAAATGGATCCAAGTTTTAAAATGAAGAAACGTCAAAAAAGGTGACGTCGCAGCGAGGAAGCCAGCCGGTAACAGCTTGAGAAGTGGATTTCATGAAAAATTATTAAAGTTGATGTAGATTAATAAAAGTTGAAGTTTTACATAAGGATTTTTCACAATCCGGCACGGAAGTTTGCGGCTATAATTTTGTATGAAGTTTAGAAACGAACGTCATGTAGTTTTTATGATTCTTAATTGCACCAACAAGCATTCAACTAAAAATTTCTTTTCAAATTGACCACTAATGAACTCAATATCAACACATTTCGGCAAAACTACTACTAAAAAACATATACCTACAAGATGTGCAGATATAATTTACAACCATACTGTAAAGTTCTACAAATTTAACTAGAGGTGGATTCAATCAGGTTAAATGCTGTGGCAAAATTCAGTCGTAAATTGTGGTCATGCTTTGAAGATACACAGAACTTCCTGTGTTAATGTTAAAACTTATTAGATAACTAATATAAAATAAGAACCCAGAGCGCTTTCAAGTTTAATTAATGACTCATTTAGAGACAACTGGTTGCTGCTAGTAGTTACAACCAGATTGAGAAGTTTCATGGCTTCTAGAGTATGAAAGCGTAGGTCTCCCATTTCCGTTTGTCTGTCATCTCTTCGAAAATTTTTATGCTTATGGAGGAACGTACTTTTTTATACCGTTAAAAAGTCATTAAAACATATATATTGACAATTTTTTTACGAATTGTGAAATTATGACTTTGTTTAATGCCAGCCAACGACCTATCGTTTTTGAGCACCTCTATTAAAGTTTTAACGCTCTTTCCAAGCATGCATGCCATGTTCGCGTGTTAGTGTATTCGGGACAAAATTTTCTTTAATGAGTTTAAAAACTTTTTAGCAGGTTTTCCGCGATTTATGCACATAAAATGCAAAATTTTCGGAATGTAATAAAAAGGTAAAAATGCGAGATTTTCATTCAGCGGGTTGAAAATCAACGTGCCGCTATTGTATTCTACAACCATGGTCAAGTACGACATGAATGGAACAATTAGTTTCATTTTTCCTGAATCTTTTTTATTTTCACTCAAAGAAAACAATATTTTTTCAGTTTATTAATAGGAGGTTTAAAGCTTATTACTTAAAATAGCAACTGCCAACAGACGCTGAACAAGCGGAAACGGAGGACCTACTTTCTTATATACCAAGAAATCGAAAAAATAAAATTAATTAAAGTTGGCCATGTAGGAAAAAACGCTTGTCTTAGATTAAAATAATTATTTATTAAATGGCAAATTGACACGAAAATAATATTTCCCAGTTTACACTCAAGAAGTAATAAAGTATTCGAAGATTAATTGTAAAATTAGATTCAACAATAATTTTAAAATAAACGTAAAACTTCCGATCAATTTTAAAAAGTCCTTTAATTGATAAAACAAAGTAAAAACATATTTCATGACTGTTGTTTCCCCACAGATTTTTTTTCCAATTTATTAATAGAACAGCTAACAACTATCAATTTATTGAAGTAGTTCAGTCAAAAAATTCACGACATTTAAGCAGTAAAAAGAAAGAAAGTAAACTATAATTTATTTCGTCTAATAGATTATTAAATACATATCGCACTGTAATTTGAGCACGTAAAATAGGGAATATCGATTAACTTATTTAATAGGCTGAAACCAAAAACCAAGGATTTTTTACCTCTATTCTCACGACACCTGTTAATTTTAATCATCGTGCAGGTAGCTTTCTGTCGACTTTCTTATTAATTATGTATATCATGAATATATTAATTACATAAAACAGGACTAAATTTCTTCATATTCGTTTAATCGAATTTATTTCTATTTATAACAGGTACTCTAAATAGCATTGTGGTGTTTTAAAAGTGGCAGATCTGAACATCATGCACTGCAATTACTATGAGTTGTATAATTTGAAAATTCCTGCAACACTTTTTCAGCATATCACACAGATTTCATTTATTTGTCGAATGTATAGCATTCCGTGGAATGTAGCATTTAATTTTGATTTTTTGAAAATAATAGAAAAAAATACATTTGTTATTGAAGTGGACGTCATTAAATTTTTCGTACAAACAGATAAATTGTGATGAGAATTTTACCAACTACACCAATATCAAATTTCATAAGACTTTGTTGAGTCAGCCAGATGGAAACAGAGGACCTACTTTTTCATATTCTAGGAGCTATGGAATGTCTAGGAAACGTAAATTTCTTTGTTTTTAAAGTGGGCCCTGTTGGATTGCTTCCCAAATTTACCCTCGAAAAGTAATAAAGAAAAAATATATAATTATTATAAAATAATAATTATTATAAAATAAACCCAAAATTTCAAATTAGTGGGTTCAGCAGTTTTGCAGATCATTTGCCCAATACAGTCATCAACAACAAAGATCAGATGATAGCGGGAAAACTGTATTTTCGTGTTCAACAAAATTAAAAAAACGTTAAATGACCCTATTACTGTAAGTCCTTTATCTGTTACTCAGAAAATATAAATTAACGAATCCTTCAAAGTTTGCAATAAAGACTACTGAACAATTTTTGAGTTGACTTTAATTTTTAGATTTTCACGAAACAGTCGGAAAAACAAATTAAAAAAATATTTTCCACGAAATAAAATACTACAGCTGCTATACGATTGTTACTTTTACTATAAAGACAATAATAGTAGTAGATTTTTTTTATTAAGAACAGTAATTAAATAAATATTTAAGGACTTAACAAAATATTAAACTAATATTTAATATTTTATTTGCACGCAAAAAAAATGTTTTCAATTTATTAACGAAACATTCAAAATTGTCAACTTGTTGAGGCAATTTGCATAAAAAATTCATAATATTTGCCTAAAGAAGAATTTCGATTTATAATTTGTGCCGTGATGAGAATAATCTAATAAATTATTACATCTCGCGTGGTAATTTGGAACTCGAATACTGTAATTATCACTTAAAATAGCGCTTATATTGATTAACTTATTTAATACTTTGAAACCAAAAAACAATAACGGATTTTTTACCTACATTCTCAAGCAATGTCCATTTTTAGGTTAATTATTTATTTTACTAATTTATATATTAGAAAACAGCAAAAAGTGGACTAATTTCTTTATATTTGGTTACAAATACACTTTCTTTCGTTGTTTAAGGATTATAATCTAAAAGACTTTTAAGTATTTTGCCAACTGGACGTTGAAATTGAGTTCTCAAACTCAACGCAACAAATAATGCTCAGAACTTCCAAGGACCTTATCCTTATTGCTCAAGGATCCTTTCTTTATATTTGAAGTGCCCTCGATATATCATTAGAATTTAAAGAATATTTAAATTTTGGAATAAAACATTATATACGCAACATTTTATGTTTTAGAATCATTGATGTCGAAAGTTTAGTCGCAGATTTTAAGTCGTGTGTCTGTCAAATCTGTTGCATTCCATGCAATGTGAGCTTTAATTTTGATTTTTTAAAAGAAAGCATGCTAATTTTCTGAGTTCAAATAAACCTTCATTAGCAAAATTTTTATATGACGTCATCAAATTTTTAGTTGGAACAATGGACAAATTTTGATGAGAATTTTACCAGTTACGCGATATTCTTAAAACCAATATCAAATTTCATGACAATTTGTTGACATGGAAATCACCTATAGACGACAGGCAGGTGGCAACGGAAGTCCTACTCTTTCATATAGTTGCAGCTATGGAATGTCCAGAAAATATGAAATTATTTATTACGCTCAAAACATAATAAACTATAAACTTCCTCTGACAAAATGTATTGCAAATAAAAATAATAGATGAACTATAAAATATGATATGACAATAACGATTTTTAAGTTGACGTCAATTTTAAATTGTCACGGAATAGTTGAAAAAACAAATTAAAAAATATTTGCTACCAAATAAAATATTACAGCTGCTATGCTATTGTTACTATTACGATTAAGACAATAATATTAGTAGAAATATTTATATAAAAAAATATAAAAATATTTTTTAATTTATGAACGAAACATTCAAAATTGTCAACTTGTTGAGGCAATTTACATGAAAAATTCAAGATATTTGGTTAGTAAGGAATTTCGATTATAATTTGTTTCATGATGAGAATCATAATCTAATAAATTATTACATCTCGCGTCATAATTTGGAACTCGGACACTGAAATCACTTAAACTAGCGCTAATATTTATTACTTATTCAATATTTCGAAACCAAAAAACAGTAAAGGATTTTTTACTTATATTCTCACGCAATGTCCATTTTTAGGTTAATTATTTATTTTACTAATTTATTAAAAAACATTAATAAATGGATTAAATTTCTATGTATTCGTTTAAAAATGCATTTTATTACGAGTTTTATATTTTGGAAGCTCGATGGGTATAATCTGAAAGAAACGACTTTATAATTATTTCGCCAACTGGGTGTAAATATTGAGTTCGGAACTGAATATTTTTAAACTTTTCAAGGATCTTATCAGTTAAGGATTATATTTTAAGTGCCAATTATGTCCGTAACACTGCCTCTCTGTGTTATCGAAAGTTTGGATGTCTATTTTAAGTCAAGGATTTGTCGAATCTGTTGCATTTCGAGCCATAAAAATTCAAAAACAGCACGTAACGAGCAAAAAAAATGTTCAAAATCGTCACTGTCGAGATTTTAAGTCGCGTATTTCCGGAATCTGTTGCATTCCGGGCGAAAGCGTGCGTGGTAACGCAATGTGACATTTGATTTGGCATCCTACCGTTATAGACGAGCGTGGTTCCGTTCGGCGACGTCGGCGGCGGACTCGGCGCCGTGGCGCCCGCCGTCGGACTCGACGGTCCCCAGCAGGACGGCGCGTCTCCGACGACGTCGATCTCCTCGTCCTCGTCCTGGTGGTCGGGCGGCTCCGGCCGCTCCGGCCACGGGTACGCCTTCCACTTCTTCGCCATGAGACAGCGCGGCATGGCGCTATCGCGTGACCCTGACCGGACGCACCATCCTAAAGACGCGCACCCGCGCACTCGCACCACCCCGAAGACATCGGAAACGGAAGAACTAGAGAGGACAGGAGAGAAGACAGCGAACAAGAGCAACACAACAGAACTAAACTAAACAGACCCCTCGTGGCTTTGGAGCGCGCCCTAACCCTCCGACGCTTTTATATATAGTGGCGGGAGTGGGGACGGCGCCCGCCCCGCGCCGCCGGCCGCGCATCGATTGCGGAAGGGGTGCGCCGGCCGAGGACGCGCCACTCCAACACGTGGCCGACGATGGGGGAGAGGGGCACGTGCCGTACCTGGACGACGACCACCTGATAGATAGCAGATGGATGGATGGGCGGGAGGATTCCGGATACGGGAAGCGGGAAACGGCGGTGGCGGCGGCGAGGAGCCGAAGACCGACAAAAATTTGATACCTCTCGAAAAAAAAAAACACACACACGTATGTTCATACAAAGGGGAGAAATAACGAATCTAGTTCCTTTTATGTCTAATTTTTACATTGTTCGTTACAAAGCGCAGCAGTTGGACAAAGTTGTTGATATTTTTGTAATGCCATCAACGAAAGTGACATTATCATTGCTGGGCTCAAAATCTGACGTGTGGACAAAGGTCTGCTTTTATGTTATTGTTATTAGTACATTTTAAATTTATGCCTCCTATTCAGTAGATGATGTTGTAAATTTTAGCGCAGAATATTGATCATCCCACGTTTATTGCTGCTAATATTCGATTTGTTTTTAATAAAATTTCATTGGAAATTCTATTTTTTGACATTTTCATAGTAATTGTCACACTATATTTAATAAGAAACTTACAACAATTATTCGTACAATAATTAGTGATGTGACTTTTCTGGATTTATTATAGTTGTTAACATTACAAGTGCATATTCTTCATAGTTAACTATTTTTTTTCATTTATTGCATATCTTAATGTTAAGTGCATTTTTATGCATATTTTAAAAATTTTCCTGCATTTTTCGTGGTAATTGGTGAAAATCTTAATTTTAATACGGTTGGTTATTGGCAGTATGTAGGTAAATAAGTACCGACCTTTTCTAGTACTGCGGACGGGTTTTTCCAAGAGTTCATTTAAGGGCACACCCAGTTAGGCCTATTACTGGAATTCTTTACTTAACGGCCTTTAAGCCAGATATTGTAAATATAGATAGTTTTGCAAATGTATTTAACAAGGGGTTGGAAGAGATGGAAAACCTAGAATGAATCTCTTACATAAATAATTATTTGTTTTCAATTTTTTTATAGATTTCGGGCACAAATAAACATCTTATAGACCAACATTGCAGAAGGCCTCTTCACAAAAGAAATTGTAAAAAAAAAACTCAACCAGTGTAACTCAGACATCAATACGAGAAACTTGATCTGCTAATACAGCCAAAAATGAAAAGGAAACATTCAAGTTCGATTTATGCCAGGCCATGCTTGCCTCGAATATTCCATTAAATAAGTTAAGTAATCCTACATTTAATTCATTTTTGGCAAAATAGTGTAAAAGCACCATTCCAGATAAAAGCACTCTCAGTAAAACAACTGTAGATAAATATTATACCGAAACTGTTGCTAAAATTAAGACACATTTGCAAAATAACTCTACTTACTTTGTTGTTGACGAAACAACATATTTATCAGTTGGTACTTTATCTGCAAACTTTGTGTCAGATTCTTTTTAATTGCTGTTAAAGAGTTAGCAAAGGCGAATAATGTAACTATAAGTACATTTGTCCAAGAAAGTTTAACCCAATGCTTTACCATTTATAAAATCCTATTAATGCTTTAAGTGTCTTTGGAGATTTTAATTTATTATGGAAGACACTTGGCCACTTACATACACAAAAATGTCACAGAATAAATAATTCTTTGGGTAGCATACACTACAATGTTTTTGATGGAATACTCCAGATATTTCTAGATGTTCTCTTTGACCTCTTATTAAGATTTATAACCATAGTTTATTTTAACAATTCTGATTTCCTTGAATTTTTTTGATGATACAGTTCACAAAAAATCCTAAATGAGTTTATAAAATATTTTACAAAAGCATTTGGTTTTGTAGGTCCCATTCATTAATTTTTTTGAGTCATCCGGTATATGCAAATTCAAAAAATATGAATGGAATGATAAATTACAAGTACAGACTCATCATATTTTGTATATTCTAGATAGGATTTATTCGGGAAACTTTTGAACTGACGTCATCAGTTTTTTGGAGAAGATAACCAAATATATTTTGACTAAAAATTTATTATGCTCTTGATAACCTTAAAACATCTGTAAGATTTCAAAGCATTCGGTTTTGTAGTTCCTGATTAACTCAATAAAATTAATTTACGCATTCATTAATTTTTTTGAGTCACCCTGTATATGCAAATCCAAAAAATATGAATGGAGTGATATATCACAAGTACAGACTCATCATATTTCGTACATTTTAGATAGGATTTATTCGGCAAACTTTTGAGCTGACGTCATCAAGTTTTTGGAGGGGATAACCAAATATATTTTGACTAAAGATTTATGATGCTCTTTATAGCCTTAAAACATCTGCAATATTTCAAAACATTCGGGTTAGCAGATTCAAAATTAAATTGCAAAATGTTGTTTTATAATTTTGATTGTTTTTCTAAAAATCTGGACGTTTCGGGTAAAAACTTAATTCGGAGTCGTAAACTACATGTGTAGGTCGATGTTATTTTATACAATTTAAAGCCCATTTAGTATGTACAATTTTGAAGTGACGTCATCGCATTAGTGGTGGGGATGATTAGATAAATTTTAGTTAGCGTTTTACCATCTACATGATATTCCTAATATAAGTACAAAATTTTACAACAATCGGTCCAGTACTTTCGGAGATTATCTATCTAATAAAAATCCGGGACGGCAGACAGACGGACAGACGGACAGACAGACGGAAATGGGAGACCTATTTCTTCGTCTTCTAGGGGTCATGAAAGATCGAGAAAACGTAAAAGTAGAGAGTCGGCCGATGGACTCGATTACAATACTTCCTTTGCTTACGCTCGTGAAGTAAAAATGATGTTGAAAATAAAGGGGAGTGTATCTCAAATAAGGATTATTTCTGTCGTGAACTGACAACTGGTGGTAGTCCTTTATTTACTCAAATTTATTTTTTTTATGTTTATAAAATTATTTTTTATGAACAAAAAAGATATAAATATCTAATTGTTGGATATCATTGTATTTTTACTAATATTTTTGTCAATATTAGTAACTAATCCTGCGAGTAAGAAACACAATTGGACTGTTTAGACACAGGTAAAGGAACATCTTTCATTACACTCGCTTAAAAAAAATACTTAATAATTTTTCAACATAACTTTATCTGTTTTTTAGATGGAATGTTTTTTGTTCATTTCTGCTAACTTCAAATCGATTTTAGAATTTTTTGAGAATTTAGAATTGCTCTTTTAAACCCAGTGTAAAAGTGCCAATACAAAATTTTTTTAGGACAACTTCTATATGTACAGAGTGTCCCAAAGGTCTCGTGACGGAAGATTAAACACTTATGATGGAACATGGACTTTTGATAATAATTCTGACATATTCTGATAGAATCCATGAAGGTCTGAATTTGCAATTGTCCAACTCAAACATTAGAAAATTACATATCAAAGTTGTGCCTAAATACTGTTACAGATTTTTATGAAAAAATTGTTTGGAGATTATTGCGACAGAACTTCCCTCTCTTTGGAAGCATAGTCCAACAGATCCTGCTGCTTGGGAAGATTATAAAATTTGATTTTGCGAAATTTTACTTTTTTAATTTTTTAATCATTACCTCTATAAAGTAAAAACAATATAGGCAATACTTGTCATAATGTAAAAGAAAAAAAAGAACCATATTGGGGATCGAACTCACGACCGTTTTCGGGTTGCAGGTTATTAGACTCTGATTTTTTTTGCGAAAATGTGGATACCTACAGGAAAAACTCAAAGCGGATTCATACGCTACAACTACGAGTATTACTGACTTCAAAGTGATTGTCGACGCAGAAAGCTGTGAAATATTGATAAAATGACATTTAGTTACTTGGTGTGTAAAATCATAATATTGTGTTCATTATTATAATACCCTTAAATTATTTGAATGTAAAGACTTTGGAGATCATAAAAATAATTAAATCTAAAAAGCGCGCTCACAAGCAGTTTAAGATTATGTCTGCTGTCATAGATTATTACCAGAAATTCGGTAAACTCCGAATATATAGATATAGGATCAAAATTATATACGTAAAGTTGCGGCCCCACAAATGTACACCATTTTTCGTTGTCAGGGAATTTTTTGAATTCTTAAATTAATATTAAGTCTGGCTATTATCAGTAGCGTAGCATTTTTGAATAAACAAAATGTCAAATTTGATAAACTTTGTTATTCGAACGCCCATGACTTGAACATACATTTACAATTTATGTTTTGACCGTCTGGTGTCCCACAAGGGTCAATTTTGGGACCATTTTTATTCTCATTGTTTATTAATGATATTGGTAGTGACTTTGTCTGCTCTTTCAGTTTATTTTCTGATGACTTAAAAATATATAGAGTTATCAAGGCCCACAATGATACAGTGTTACTTCAGAAAGATATATTTTCATTGATCGTTGGTGTAATGATAACCTCATGATTACAAATAGAGACAAATGTCATGTCATTAATTTTCGTAAAAAAATATCACCGTAATCTTTTGTCTATTTCATTGACAATAATAAATTAAACGTTTCAACTACCAGGGTCTCGGTGTGATTTTGGCTAGCAAGTTAACTCATATTTATATAAAATTTGACAACAATCAGTCCAATTGTTTCGGAGAGTATTATATCTGCTTAATAAAAATCGACACAGACGACAAACAGATGGAAACGGGAGACTCCTGAAAACCTATTTTTTCGTACTCTAGAGCTAGTGAAACATCGATTAACATGACAGTAGCTATTTTTCTAATGGCCACTATTACAATACTTTCTTAGCTTACGCCCAGGAAGTAAAAAAGAGAAAAAACGAGGTCGTGTCCTTGATCAAGAGTTTTCACGATATTTGCAGTTTTATGAACAAAATTATTATATTTATAAATTCACA